GAGGGAGAGGAGGGAAGAGAGGGGAGAGAGGGGAGAAGCTCTGCCAACTCTGAAAATGAAGGGCAGGAGAGAAGTTTGTGAGCTAATGAGTTATCCAGGCTCCACTGATGACTAATAACCTCACATGATTTGGTGGAGCTGAATTCCCAGGTGGGAAAAACGCCTTCGGCTCCACACACTTTTCCTGCCATCCCTCTTAGGAGCAGCCATGTGGCTCAGGCTTCCTAGCCCAGATGATGAATATTTGTTAATGCTTCTGTTTGCTGTTAAATCTACTCTATTGTTCACCGTGTCATGGAATCCCAATTTTTTCTAACTGAAGTTCCTCCCAACAAATCTTAGAGAATTTTTTTTCATTTAGATGATTGAAAGATGTCCACATCATCGCCCCAAATGATCACCTGCCTTTCCCATTTTAATAAGGGAATGAGGCAGTCCCCGCCCCGTTATCCTCCTCCAACCCTTCTCCTCCCGCCACACCAGGAAATAGAGACCAGTGAGCCCCAGGAATACTTACTGGTCTCGCAGTGGGACTTGATGCCAACAACCCAATGGCTGCTTACACCTCCCCCTTTCATAGCTGGGGAACTAAAATCAGGTGAGACAAAGTGACTCCCCCACGGCCAGCATCCTCACCGGAATGAGAACAGAAGCCTGTGTGTCCCAAGCCCCCCAGGAGCCCAGGAAGCCCTAAGAGGCTGTGCCCGACTTGGCCCAGATCGAGGGAACTCCCCACGTCCCTTGGGGGAAATAGACTTCTTTGGTGGTGACAGACCACGGAGTCTGTGTCAACAGAACCCGTTTGTTCACTGTTGTCCTTTCAAATACAGAACAAGCCGGCTGTTCGAGACCCTTGGGTTGGGTGGGGCGATGTGCCGCTTTGTGTCAGAGGCTCTGTCCTAAGGCAACAAATTTAATCATAGAACTTCAATGCAGTTTCATTCTTTCTGGCTCGCATTAGTAATTCCTCTTTTTTTAATCTGTCTCGTTCTCAAAAGCATCTTTTTGCTTTTAGTAGCTGTCCACTCGCAACTTTAAAAGATGCCTCGTATCACAAAGGTGGTTTTGCACGGCCGTTGGACTTGACTTTGTGGTCAGTCATAGTCCAGAGACTTTCCCAGG